TATGAAGTAGCAATGAAAATAATTTTATGGTTGGGGGTCACCGCAACATGAGGAACTGTAAAGGGTCACGACATTAAGAAGGTTGAGAACCACTGTGCTAGACATGAGTGATTCTCTGAGTTAGGGTCCTGCTCCTTGTACCCTATAAGGGCTGCCCAGGACACATAACAGGGAAGGAAGCTCCCGCTCCCACAAGACGTCAGAGGGATTCAAATCAGAAGCTGAGCCCTCTCTGCCAGGCAGAGTGCCAGTAAAGGCAGAGAGATCCCAGAGAACACATGGTGTGGATGTGCCCAGGGAACGGGATCCTATTCTGACCTGAAAGATCAGAACAACCCACAGTCAATGTTTATTCACAGCTAAAATTGGGACATGTCCTAAAATTCAAAGGGGGTCAGCAGGCCACACAACCAGCCACACCAACACTCCCCTTGAGGGAAAGTCCAAAGCAAGGAGCATCTTCAGTTTGTCAGTAGATAAATGTAACAGCCTCTCTATGAGTGAACAAGACAGACAGACAGACAGACGATCTATACCTCGTCATTCCAAAGTCCGAAATTTTTACTATACATGTAGAACTGACCAAACAATTCCTTGCCGCCTATAGAAAGAAGAAAAGAATCCAAGTTTCAGTACAAGTTTTTCTTTCAAGAGTTTCTATTCTCCTTTTCTGTAGTTCACTTGGCCCCTAACTATCTCTCGGTGTAGACAGGCAGGTTATTTTTATAATAACATCTATCAGTCGCACATTTGATTCAGTAGTCTGCCCTCACAGTCCAGATTTTCATGGTTCTTCAAAGTAAAAAGAAAAAAATAAAAGGAAATTTTAACACCATTATTTTTTAAATGTTTTGTCTTTCTCAAGCACTATCCTTGATAAGTATGGCGATTAATTAAATCTGAACGGTGGTAAACTACGAATCTTGGCGCAAAAACTTAGTGTGTGTTTTCTACTTATTTCAATAAATAAAAGAAGAAAGGCTAAAACACACGAGAGATGAGGCGTAGTCATTTTGTATCTTTGAGATCTCTAATAGTAATAAAATTGAGAACTTATATTTTAAATATCACATTTCACTGAATATAACTATTAGCAGTGATAATTTTATAATTCTGAAAATTATCAGAGTAAGCGGAAGAGGGTATTATCTACTGTAGAGATGATGGAGTTGGTCCCTAAACAGTCCATTTTCAGCAACGTAGTCAAGAAAGTCATTGATTTGGTTATTTAGCTTCATGGCCCTGAGCTCTCTAATAGGATTTTTCTCTTTTCCGCTAATTTGGGGTTGGGTTAGTCTAGTAACAAAGGGAGAAACTTGTGAAGGTAAGCCAGAAGGAGCCAGATGGGAGGACGCCAGCTGTACCAGCAATGATCCCAGAGTCAAACGACAAGAGAAGGCCTTGACAGGAAAAGCGCATTGTCAGCTGATGCATTGTAAGTGGCATAGAAGAGATCAAAACAGAATGCAAAAGAGAGTGAGCAATC